TTAGCAATTTTTAAAAACACGAATTTAGCCCGTTTTTGGAAATTTTAAACCCAACCGAACTACCCAAAACTCCCCCAGTCCTTACTTTTCACCAGCTCCGCCCACTCTACAGTATCCCTATTCCCACCCCATCGAAGCTACTCCATTTTTTCCATGTTTTCCGACTTTTTTCCCATCCATTTGCTCGAAAACAACCCTATTCTAGCCACATTCTTCGCTAGCTCCACCCACTCTTGGTCCCGCCCTATACCCAAATGAACGCCCCTTCTCTCCCGAATTCCCTGAGGAATCTCAAAGCAAATTTTTTTGAGAATTAGGCTCCTTAAACAAGTATGTTGTTATGGCTGCATTCGCTGTTTGTCAAAAATTTCAAGATTACATGCTGCCAAAAAACTATGAACTTCCCCCAAAAATTTTTGGAAAGGTGCGCCTAATGCAAGGCCACCTTAGATTCTGTCCCTCCCCCCCCCCCCCGGTCCCCTGTCTCTGCCAAATGCCTTCGCCACTAATGAAATGTGCGCCATGAAGGACGAAGGTGCTGAAAGAAGCTGGTACAGAAAGGATTAAGAGCTTTTTGGCAGTGTGAATGAGGAAAATGCCCCCAATGTAATTAGTTTCGTGATGAAAGTGAACATGCCGCCAGGTTACTTGGTAAAAGCTTGCGATTCAAAGCCAGGGAACCGCTGCGAAAACGAAAGGACAATGAGCGTATGAAGGTGTTGGTGACAGCGAAATTCGTCTTGAGTGGGAGGAGAGAAGGTGCTGGAGGAAGGGCGCAAGACAAAAACGATCCTGATCTAGGGCGATGTTAAAAACGCCAAGGAAAGTGATTGCTTATACCACCTTTCTCATCCACTTCTTTTCTCCGTTCTTATGGAAGAGTCGATGCTCTGATATGCACCACCTGGTTTGTAACAAAGAATGAGTCCACACAGCTTTGAAGAAACGAGGGAACCTATTGCAAAATGAAATATTTATCTTCATTCGTTATGGCTACCATATCTGATAGAGCAACCGAGAATGTTAAATTTGGAAAAGAAAGACGATTTGTCTTTTGCATACGATGTCTAGAGGATCGCAGTTGAGTGGAAATGTTTGCTGAAAACACTTCGGATATGCAATAGAGCGCCCTTTACAATTTCTCACAACCGAACATTTAGAGGACATATGAGTAGTTCAGAAATGTAGTGAATGCAGCCAATGTTCCTTATTGATAGAAATTCACATTTGCGTGCTAGAACGCAAATTGTAGAAGAAATTTCATTTGAGTTACATTTATTATTTATTTTATTCGTAACAGGAGCTGGCTAGCACAAAAAAATTGCAAAACTTTGGTCCAGAACAGCAAATAAAGAAAAGAAGGAGAAAGCTGCAGATTCTCCAATAATTTTCTATTTACAATATCGAAAAAGCGTATTTACAACAGCTAACAATTTTTAGGAAAATTGGATGACACGGGAGAGATTGCATGCCTTACCGAAATTGAGAAAAGGTCGTTCTTCCTCCGATTTTCTTGATGAGTGGGAAAAAGCTGAAAGACCTTTATTTACTTGTGCATAGTTATGTGGTGAATAATAATTTTGTAAAATCTTTGTTAGGCTCAGATTCTTAGAAGAAGAAAGAGTGAATGTAAATGTTTTTGTTGGATTATTGCACACATTCACTGGAGCTCGTTTGCAAAGATTGCAAATTGAATTGTAAAAAAGGATTTTAGTCCTTTGTCTACAAGTAAAAAGAGCGTTCCAAACAAAGTGCGATAGTTTTTCCAGAGTTTGCGAACAAAGAAAAACGAGTTAAGAATTTGCAAAAATTACCGTACGTCAAAAAAATCAGTTGTCACGAGAATCAGGTTTGATATATCAGCAGGGTTGAGCGTGAGGTCAGGCGCGCCCGACCTGGGGGGTCGCATTGGTGGTAAGACTGAGGGCGGGGAGGGGGGAGGGGTGGTCGTAATCAAGATTCTAATTTGCTCAAAATAAGAAAATACTACGATCGAGTAAGGTGAAGAAGAAAAGCTTCAGACCGATGTATATCACAACTCCAATAGAATTGAGGGAATGACTGTCGTGACCAGCATATTGATTGACTCCATAGAAGTTTCAGCCAAATTTCTATTCTCCATCCCTTACTTGACACTACTAAGGTCACCAGACAAGCTTGCTGTATAAATTGAATATAGTTTCCGTAATTAGCATATCAAATCACCTCTAGTAGCAGTACAGACCATTCATTATCTATTACATTTTCTAGCGTTTTCTATCGTCTAAAAAGCCTGAAATTCAAACATGACTGACTTGATTTCAAAAGTGAAAGAGCTTTTTTTAGTCATAACAAAATAATGTTCCCTATCAGTCTATATTAGAAATTAGAATTCATATCGCTTCCAAATAGTGGATTAGGAAGTACTGTCAATATTCCAAGCATCGCGTTTTTCACCTTGCGCCATCAACTCAGCGGATTACCACAAAGCTGAAACAAGTCGAGCTAAGCTCAAACACACACTGTAGAATGTTCGAGGTTTGTGCTAGCAAATTACATAAAACTTGGATGAAAAAGCGTCTTCGGAGATAAAGTTAATGGGGTCGGGCGCAACCTCTCAAAAGGTCAGGCCACCTGAGCTTTTGTAGCCTTGCGCCTGACCCACTTAAAGGCAGCGTCCAGGCAAAATCCATCCACCCAGATTAGCACATAGTTGTAAAGAGGGGCCCATGAGTATCCGATCTGCGTTGGTCCAATCCTTTGGCGTGCCCTCTGATACGGGCCTGTGATGCGTATCACAAGCCGCCCCTTCGTATCACAAACCACACCTGAGGACGAGTGCTTACGCAGGTGTGCGGTTGCATTGCAGTTGCATTGCAGTTGCACTACACACTGCAATGCGACTGCATCCGTACAGTTGCAGCTCCTCCCGCTGGCATGACGATAGGGACGAGCAATTCGAAACTCGTCCGGTCCTTGAAGAGAGGGACCCCAAGAACCGGGTTTTTCGGAAGTTTTGAACAATTTGGACTTTACAACTGTAATCAGGGCCACGGAAAGGCCCCAGATTGGCAGAAACATGAGAGGCGAAATTTTGCTCAGACGCTGCCTTTAACTTATCTTCAAAATTCAGAAATCAGTCCATTCCTGGTATGAGTATTGAGCTCATAGCCTCTCCACAGTGAAAATTTGGAGCAAAACACTCCACCCCTGGGAAAATTCTGGCTCGTTCAATAACGCGATTCACACCAAAATCCGCCGTCAAATTGCGTGTACTTGTAATGTGCAATCACAGAAAAGCGATCATGCAGTCTCCTAAAATTTAAAAAATCTGCAGGACAAACTTGTCTTCTCCAGAGTGTCACACACTGATGTTCCGGAGGTGGAGAGGATTAGGAGGGGTCATTTGGGGGCTTTCCTGGATGGGGGAGTCGTTTCCGAACGACTTGTGCCTGACCTTTTGCTCAACTCTGCATATCAGCCATGTCTTTTGATATACCTCTAACAAGGAAAGGATATCACATTAGATTCGCCTTTTGATGAAACATATATATTTGGAATCATCTTTGAATGCTGATTCCAATTATGCTGTTCCTAGCTGCTTAGCGCTATTCCGAAGCGAGTTATGGGCTTTCTGCTATGAGTGAATAACAGACTTCTGAATGTCGTAAGACGGATAGATAAGAACCTGCTCGAGAAAGGTGCTAGGATGTTGAACTAGCCTTTTAATTCTTTCGATTTTGAAAGGAAGCATTATACAATTGCAAAAGTACCTAGACGTCGACACCATAACACGAGTAGGTCGAGGAGCACGCAAACTTTGCATAAAAAGAGACCATAACTCGATTCAGAATGACGCTAAGCAGCTAAGAACAGCATATTTAACATCAGCGTCCATGCTGATTCCAAATATATGTGTCTCATTTTAAAAAGCAAATCTGATTCAGTATCCTTCCCTTGTAAGAAGTGAAAAACCGTAGCGGAATGCTATAATAGAGCGGTTAGAGAATGCATAGCTAAGCAATCATACAGGCCTAGATTCAAGGCCATTGTTGGAAAAACAGGGATTAATAAAGCTTCTTTCTAGTTCGCATGCTTCAGAAAAAATAATACAGTCGACCTCCTTAGTCTAAAAAAATGTTACTAGACTAGTGAACTCCTCGAACTAGAAAATGCAACCCGACCCGTTTCCTTTGTCCCCTTCTAATGATAGATACAGGGTGTCCCAAAAGTATGTATACACTGTTTGATCGCCAATATCTCTTTTATCAAGAAAACTTTGGCCTACCTTCGGGCAACATTTTGTAGAGCTGGCTTCAACTTAGATTTCTAGTTTGAAGCGAATCACCCATCGCTCTTCGTTATTGTAATATTAAGGTGGAAACTTCAAGGAAGGTTGTAAGCCATTAAGGGCCCTATTCCGGCTCATAAAGCAAACCAAACAACCTGGAAGCTTTTATACTGGGCTGATTCGAGCTGACAAACCAAAACCCGTAATGCTTCAGCATAAGTTATGCCAGATAAACCGCAATAGTTGTTTTTGTGGCTCCCTAAAATCTTGATTACACCATTTAAAAGGCTTTGTAGACTCTAAAAAGTTGATTTTAATGACATCAGGGCGTGTGAAAGCCCTGGTACACCGCTTTTCAGATTTTTTGGAAACTTCTTCTGAAACAGATAACACTATGACGCTGTAAGCTGTAGGTTCTTACCGTAATCCTACAGTAATAAAGAGTGACTGGTGATTCGCCCTACAAGCTAAATCTAAGTTGAACCACGCTCTACAAAATGGTAACTGAAAGTGTGCAAAAGACTTCTTGGGAGAAGAGATATTAACGATCAAACAGTGTATACATACGTTTGGGACACCCCGTATATGGAGTAATCTAAAAAATCTTGTCCATTTATTATTGTGTATATCAACGATAGAGGGAATGAAAGTTGGTGCTAAAAAAACAAACCTGCGCATGTGCTAGCCTTAAATAAGCCACTGAGCCATTAGTTCCGTCTCAAGAAGATTTTCACTGAGAGCGGTGCGAAGGACATATTTCATGTGATGGAGAATAATGACAACAATGAAGTGTAAACAACGGATAACGGATGCAAATTTTTCCGAGATTGTGCGCAGTAAAGAATGTGGCTTTTGTGTTTGTGATGATGTCGACAATAAAGAACGGGGACAATGTTTTTTCTTCCCCGGAGTGGTGCTCCACTGAGCGGACTTTGCTCAGTTTTCTTTCGCGGCTCTTGTTCTAGAATGTTTGCAAATGCAGCATCAGAGATTAAAGACTTCCAGCAAACTGGTTACCTCAAGTAAAGTAAAGCCAAAGTCAGTTGAAAAGCCCTGGATTATATTGCAGTATGAAGCCTTCTTGAATTCATTGTTTTGTTTCTAAAGACAGCATATTCAATAATGTTTCCATAAGAATCGTAAATCTTTGTAGAGCAGAAATAAGGGCGATTTTCCTGATATTATGTATCAGGATGAGATTGGAACAGAACTTGTGATCATTACACAGAGAAAGGTCTAAAGAACAGCGTCAAAAATGCAAAATTGAAATCTAAAAATCCCAGATGGTAAATAACAACAATTAACTGAAATCAATCCCCGTAAGCTAAATAATTTTACCTCCCTATCTTCTTCTTCTCAATCCTCGAAATTCGAAGGGTTTCCCTACAAGTCCGAAAGGATCGTTTGTGAATCATTCAAACACTTCATCCGAAATTCGAAGAGGCACTTCACTTGTTTGCAAAATCTTGTCGTGTTCCTCAATGTTTCTTACGAGGGAAGAACATCTGGTTGAGGTGGCGTGTCCATATGAAATGTATACTACCCTATAGAGCATGGAACGCTGATTTCAAATTGCTTTCGGTATTTGCAGAGCGCTTTTGATGCTGAAATTTGAAAGCGCCGCTACGATGAAATTTTCCAGAACTTCAAACCGTGAGCTCAAATGGGGCCATGAATACTACCAGGGCGTTTTATGCAATAAACACCTTCAATCTAATAAACTCATGTCAGTCATTACTCTTTTCAAAAGCCGCAAAGATCTCAACATCTGTTTTGACCTTAGCCAAATCACTGAGTTTTACTTCAAAAACTCCTAAAGCTCCTCTCCCAAAAGCGTTTTGCAGCGAAAGCAGGTTTGGAGTCAGTGTTCCCTGCTCTATAGGATATTACATCTCACATGAAAAAGTCACTTCGATCAAGTATCCTTTCCTTGTTAGACCCCATGCATAAAAGGCTACCCTGCTATATGGCATTCGATTGTGATATGGGGTCATTATAATGAGATTTTTGATTGACAAATGATGGGTAGAGGTGGTAAGTACATTAATGTGAAGGTCAACATTTCTTTGACAGCGGTTTTGTTTTATGAAAGATGGTATGAAGCTTATTAATAACTAAGAGCGCACTGACTAGCAAAAACTTTCGAAGTTGTATTTGACAAGTTGGTTCTGTTACTCGATTAAAAATTATAAAAATTTGTATAGTGCTCTAGACGGGTTGTGAAGAGAGCACCTGCAGCAGAGCGGTAGTCCAATGGTTGTAGACACCATTCGACTAATGCATATAGTCAGCGCATTGATGTTTTTGGAATGGAAAGAATGAGAGAGAGGAGAGTCCAGAATCTCGGAGATAAGCAGAAAAAGCCTACACTGATTGCATTACCCCATGGCGAATGGGTAACTGGAGCTGTTCTGCTAACACCATGATTTGATATCCAAAAGTGTATATCTAAACTGCTGAGGATGAAGAGCGGAAAGCAGCAAACGCAAATTCAGTTGGCACAAAAGACAAGAATTTGGTCAGCAGAAAATGAAAAAATAATTGCAAAGAATATTGCAAAGATACCCTACTATCACTCTCAAAAGAAAGTGTAATTCATTCCAGCACCTACAATTTTGAAAAAAAATGGATGCTTATGGAGGAAATATCGCATGACTTACAGAGATTAGAGGAAGGCATTTCCCTATTCTCTTGATTAAATGAGAAAACGAAAATGATGAACTCATGCCTGCTGCACTGTCATGCAAAATGCAAGCTGAGCCCTGAAGAAAAATGCCTGAACATGGATGGAATTCATTTCTTGCAAAAAAAAAATGGACAAGTAGCTCTGTGTATCGCACAGTTTCGCTGCAGTTTTTTGCGCAGTGCGATGTGAAGTGCAAAATTGGAAGTTTCTTTGTGGGTCCACTTGCTCTTGTTTTCAAGTTACGTACAGGAGCAGTGAAGAACATTTGCGAAGACTCAGGACTCTTATTTTATCTAGAATAATGGTCAGGGAAAGGTCTTTTGCTCATGAGACAAAAATCCTCAAAGTGAAGGAAGCGGGGACTTCAAATGAGTTGCGAAAAAGTAGATGTTACGGCTATTGTTTTGCAATTTACAAAAAAAGAAAGATATTAGCTTTTGATGAACCACACAGATTAGGGATCAAAAGCTTGAAAACAACGCTCTTTGAAACAGCTGCGATAACTAATCTTCAGACAGATATTAGGTTGTTACATAAGTCTTGTTACACTTTAGTTTCTTACGACGATACGTCGTGAATTCCATGATTTCAATAGGGCTCCAGGATACTATTCGATAGAGCAAAGCAAGCCCTACAAGAGGGTATGCGAAAGTTCGCACACGCTTCGATCCACCATGAGTTTGCATCCAAAATCTGAGTCGTAGTGAAGGCTCAAAAATCGCAAATATTCATATCGTTGTTCAAAAAAATTCTACAAATCCAACTTGCTCACAAAAATTGCACGCTATATCAGACACTCATAAGTACCGTTGCTGTATTTCTTCCTCATCTAGAAATTAAGAAAACAAAAAATTTCTTGTTCTTACGAAAACGGAGCTATGCTGTTTTTAATTATGTGGCTGTATACTACAACTAGGAGTACACTTAGAAGTATAACCGTAAATTTCCAGCTTTGGAAGCCCTAGTTTTCGAAAAATTACCTGATTTAGCATTGAACACCCGAGTGAAAAAAGCTAAATTCGGAATTTTTTTAGAAAAATAGGGCTTCTTCGGACAAAGCTGAAAACTTACGGTTATACTTCTAGAGGCTTCTAGTATACAGCAACATGAATAAAAAACATCATAGCTTCGTTTTAAACAAAAAAACAAGAAAATTTCCGTTTTCTCGATTTCTAGATGAGAAATAAATACAGCAACAGTACATATGAGTGTCTGATATAGTGTGCAAATTTTATGAGCAAGTTGGAGATTCGTAGGATTTTTTGAGCAAATATATGAATTTTTGATTTTTTGAACCTTCAGTACGACTCAATTTTTGGATGCAAACTTACGGTGGGTCTCAGCTGGTACGAACTTTTGCATATCTTCTTGTAGAGCTTGCTTTGCTTTATCAAAGGGTGCCCTGGAGCCCCGTAAAAAATATGGGATGCATAACTTATAGCCGTAAGAGGTTAAAGTGTAACAAGACTTATGTAACAACCAGTGCATTTGCACAATTTTATAACCCATATAAGTAACTTTCAAAAATTTCGCGACCCGTCCCCGCCCCCCCCCCCTCGGTACGCCACTGGTAACAACCTAATATAAAAGCAACTTGAGCATGTCCTCCCAGTTCTCAAAGTCTCGAGAATGCTTACTCCCTGCATCCAAACCGAGATATCAGTTTAAAACCTTGTGCAAAAAATTTTCAAGTAGAAGTACGTTTGCACTGAGGCTTTTGATGAGGTTAACACGTATGGGGCTCACTGAGTTAGGTTAATTTACAAAGAAAGCAACGGTCTGTGGACAACAGCATGGTTAGGCAACACTCAGAAACGTTCAGATGGCATTCTATTGAACGAACGATTGCTAGCTAAGTGTTTAACCAAAACTTTCGCTTTGTAGTTCATCGCAAATTTCATGACAACAGTGGTGATTTGTTCTTAGAGACGTTTTTAGCACTCCGGTTAAATCAGTAAAACTTTGATGTTTTCCTTGACTGAAAAAGCTTAAGATAAGATGATCCGGTGCTGATCATCAGGAGATCATGCCAATGTGGCTTATACAGCTTGCCCATGTTCAATATGTTCGTAGTGAAGGACAGCAGAAGTACTCACTGATAAGTATAGGGCTTATATCAAACGCAGTGTCGCTTGCATCAGCATCTCCACTTTCGCGCTGGACTCAGCGTCTCTTCCGCGAATATGCTCTTCAATCACTTTCAATCGATTTAGGCTCCGCCTTTCCCACGCTCGCCGTGGGAAAGTGGGCAGAGAGCATGTTCGCGGAAGAGATGCAGAGTGCAGCGTGGGACTGAAGACGCTGATGCAAGCAACACTGCGTTTGACAAGCCTTGTAGGCAGCGTGAGTTCCACATATCTGAAGCTTCATGATATGAACCTATCTTTCATGTAGCGATCCTCTGCCCAGCGGAGATGTCAGTGCATGCGGCCCTGAATCGATTTTTCGACTTATATTGAATGGAAATTACGCAATCCCCAAGGTACCGACTTTCCTCAACTTCAGCAACCTCAGGAATACCGTCTCAGGGCCTATGTGATTTTTGGATTTCGCAACCTTAGGGGATGACAATAGTAGTTGCCGCTTGCCACGGTTGCCGAGGTTGCCGATCGTTATAGGACCCTATAATGCCCGTGTGTGCAATATGCACTCTCTATCATCCCCGGCGACCTCGACAACCGTGTCGGCAACTTATTGGTCGTTCTCTTAGCCTTATCCTTCTGTCGACCTTCTGGATTTCGCAACCTCAAAAATATCAATTTCATCAATTTCACTGCAGTTTTCACTGTTCCGAAAATTTGATTTCTTTGGCTCTTAGTTGCTAATTTGAGCTTTTCCACTTTTCGGTTTCCTCTAGCTTTGCCCACTCCACAATTTATCTTCAAAAAATCCCTTGCTTTATCAAGTCTTCCTAGCATCACAACCACTCGGCTCGGCACGAGCTGGAATTTTTATAGAGTCTCCTATTGACGCAATAAAATTGAAAAAAACGAAATCCTTCTTCTTAAAAGCGGTCACGTAGGTCTGCAGAGTTTATAGAGTTTATTTAACGCGGGTTTATTCGTTGATGAATGCGCAGTTCAGCCTATGCATGAGGTTGATGTTGTCGCGAAATTTCACCACTTCATAAAGCTGGAAAATCTGTTTCTTTATTTCTCAAGGCGTACCACACACATATAGGACTAAAAGATTCATGCTGCGATCATCGATCACATTTATTTTATTTTACACAAAGTCTTTTGCTTTCAGATAAATTTGTATCAACACTTACCATAAGAAAACTTTTGCAAGGCTCCCAACCTTTTGAACCTACCACTAAACAAATCCTCTTGTCCTCGTGGATTACCGGAAGTTTAAGTAAATGTTTTCAAAACTTCCATCCAGCTGATTATTCAGCGAGCATCGATGTGAGCAATAACAAAATTTACAAGGGCTTCAAGAAACCACAACTACAGCTGACCGACGACTTGCTTTTGCCATGAGATGACGCAAAGAAAAGAGGTTCCAACAATACCCAGTTGACTTTGGTCAGAGTAGAGATGCTCTCAGTATCTTGTATTTGGCAGGAAATTCACTCACTGTTGGGTCGAAGAAGGGAAGGAATCTGTTATATTCAGAAGTCGAGCCAAGCATCCCTTTAAGCGTGCATAGGCGGAGGTATTCTTCTCGTTAATATAACTGACTCGTCATACACAAGGAAGCTGTTCGAACTGACTTCAAGTTGACAGTGTGGTTTTGGAGAAGTGCTACCTCGATTTTCCACAAAGTTCCCAACACTCTGTTTATGCGCTTTTCTAGCTTTTGAGTATCTCAACTAGAAAAGAAATCGAGAAGCACGTACAAGACAACATGCTTGTGATAACGACAAGGTACCACAAGAATAGAAAGGGTCTACAGTTGCTTGGCCCGCAGATTCCCAGGATCTACAACCGATACAGCTGACATGGATGACGTGGAGAATTAGGTATAAGAATTTATCTTTTCTGTATCTTTCCATCTCAAAATTTACGTTCTTGTTATCTCTTTACTTCTTCGTAATCGCCAATTTTGTCGATGTAAAACACAAAGTTTGAAGATGCTGATGGAGCATGTAGCCCGCATATTGGAAGTGCGTCAGCGGCACATAGACGAGAAGTTGCACTTGAGAGCATACGATGATCTGATCTGTTCAAGTGGAGATACAAGATTTGTACACGCTAGAGGTAGCATCTCTTTGTGTAATTTGAGGAGACAAAGCAAGTTTGCCACAGTTATCAAAAGGCAAGCACGAATGGGTTGTTGCCCTCGTGGTAGGCTGGGATACAAGCAAACAATAAGCTTTGATTAAATGTACGCTTACATATATGTCTGGAGAGGCAAAAACCAATGCTTTACGGCTGCGAAAACAAAGCGATGTATTGAATTTTTGCCTTCCTCGAGGACAGACTGGAGATTCACCGTCCGAGGCCGATGCAAAGGCGTAGATAATTAGAAATTTTGCTAGCGGCGACAACTCTACTAGGATAGGTCCCAAACGTACAGGTGGAGTGCTCGTAAGGTCATAACTATGCATAAACATGCACAATTTCAGAAATCCCTAATAATGCATGTTTTTACGCTAGGAAGGCCTGGTAGGAGCTGAATGGTAGCATTCCGAAAGAAGAATGCAAAAAATGGTGTTTTAAGAGGACTCAAGGTAAGTGGAAATTGCAGTTCACACTCAAACAGTCACATTTTTGCGTAAATCTATGGTTCCTACACAGTCCGGTAGTGTAACAGAATCTAGAAGGAAAGTTCTTCTGACTTGAGACTCCTGCTTCAAGTAAGTGGCGTCATGGTAAGATACAAAGTCGATATATGGATCCAATAAAAACTTTGCCTCAGTGCTATCTTTTCCCAATGTTTCATCCCTCTTCAAGTTGTGGAATTTCGAGAATGAATTTGGGGCATTTGGAGTAGACAGTACTACTTCTACAGCCACTGCGTCTCACCGTAATTCAGGCGTAAAATCAATTTCATTGCACACTTCACAGAAAATCAATTATATTTCGCTTAAAACATCCAGAAGTGGCGTCATGGTAAGAAGTCTTGTTTCTTTTATGTTCTTAATGTCGCTGGGCGGGGGACTGCTGTTTTTTGTTTTCTTGGTTAAAATGTAAATAGACGCTCAGCGCTCGTAAGTTGAACTTTGCGCAGCTTTGCAGTCACTCGAACAAGTTTTTCCATATTCCGCCATGTCTGTTTTTTTTCACTACGGTCAGAAATGTCTCCTCTTTCAGTCTATTCTTTTTTCTTCATAAAATTTCTCATCTTAATAGAATAACTGATAAGTGTCTGAAGATAACCAAGTCCTTGTTGGCCAAAGCTTTTGTTCGATCCATACTGAACAGCGGAGTATCAAAGTATTCATTTTCTAAACTTGGCTCATCGTGCCCTTCTCTTTTTTATACTCGTACTAATAGTCAAAAATGGCTGCGAAGAGCGCCTCCCATGCCCCAATGCAAATCTCGCTTCCGCGCGGGAATCTGTCGAGTGGTCGACACCTTATAATTAACCTACATCGCAAAGCAAATGCAGGTCCGACAGGATTCAAGCTTGGATGTCCATTTAAAGTTTACCTGCTACTTCGCTGTTGTCAACATTATAGCGTGACCTTGGGGTGAAAATATCGTTAAGGCATCGACAGGTGATGATTAAGGTGGAAAAGCATAGACTTGTCTTTTTTTGCAACTTTCTTTTCGTTTCTTAGCTTTTCCGTCTTTTCGTTTCTTCTTAACTTTTTTGTGTAACTTTTTTGAGTAAACAAGGTTCTTTCTAACATATTCCGGATTTGATGCTAAATGGTTGGACGCTCCAAATAAACAGACGATTTTATTGCGCTTATGCTTATGTTTTCCAAACCGATAAAACTCGTTCACTTCTAAGCATGTATTCGATTACTGGAGAAGTTTAGCACCTTTTCTTTGTTTCTACAAGCTAACTTTGACGGTATGTATGCGTGCGTGCTTCAAGAGAAGTTGAAGATGGACTAGATTCCTTGTCCACGAAGAACCATATCTGATTTCCATGTTAAAAGCAGGTTTTTGCCCTGTCAGATTGCTTAAGGAAAAGCCTACTAGTCTTTGTACTGCCTGCACGAGACTAGCTTAGTTCATGCCACCAAAAGTACTCTTCCTGGCTACGTTTAGCAGAGCAAATTAATACTCGGGGTGAGAATTGTAAGGGATCGCAGGATGTAGGTGCCGCTTCTCCCACAGGCGGTAGCAGAAGTTATGCTTTTTTAACCTTTCCAGTCGTAGTACATGAAACGAAGGCTATGCAACGTAAAATTGGTAGACCGGGTAGTAAGCTGACATGATAACGATTTGCCTGGCTTGAGGTATCGTGCCAAAACTTACGAAATGGAAGCAGATGAAGCTATCGAAATTGAAAAAGCTTACAATACTTACTCAAGCTAGTACTTGCTCCTCGATTAATCTGATCTGCGGCCCACTCTCTGCTAGTTCTCAAAGTCGCACTGTATATAAAGGCTGCGCGGAGTATCCCACCTTTTCAGTTACCTCGTTTTTCTTGTTGTGCAAGGTCAAATTCCATGCAATGTGCACCTAAGCATTAAATTAGAACAAGCGGGGGTTTCATAACGCCGTAGGGGGGGGGGGTGGAGATTTGGGTTAAGTCAAGTCCTATATGCTTTATAATTTTTGCCCGAATCTATCAGGTTGTTCCATAAGTTTTGTGCTTTTGAATTTCGACCGCAATAAGTCATACAGTACTCGCTTTCGAATGTTGCAAGGTAAAGCAAGCTCTACAAGACGGCTGTCTTGCTTTTGCACCAGCTCACATACATGTCGAGTCTCATACCAAAAACTAAAAGGATTCAAGTGCTCGAAAAATTGAGAAAAATCATAAATTCGTTTAGAAAAAACCTACAAAAATTCTGACTTGCTCACGCATGCATTTCCCACATGTGACGTTTATACAGGGTGTCCCAAAAAATGTGCACATTGTTTGATTGTAAATAACTCTCTTGTAGTGAAGTGTTTCGAGAAGCTTTAGGTACCATTTTGTAGAGCGAGGTTCAACTTAGATTTACAGTATGGAGCGAATCGCCGATCGTCCATTCTTACTGTAGGAGTACAGTAGAAACTTCAAACATATGGTGTCACTGTGAAAAAAGCGGCCGTTTCAAAAAAATTTCAAAAAAAATGTAGAAATTTGTGTAATAGGGTTTTTATGGATCCTGAGTTCAATAAACAACTCTTTACAAGGTGGAGAAACTTTCTAAACGGTGTAACTGCACTTTTTGGGAACACTTAAAAAACGTCTGCTACTGCTTACCTCGCATAATTTTTAATGAAGCATTACGAAGAGTTGCAAACACATTCAGAATCAACTCTAGTTAGCCCATTGTGAAAGTTTTCAGGTTGTTTTGGTTTCTTTTTGGGACAAAATATGGCCTTTCATGGCTCAAAACCCTCTTCAAAGTTTCTACCGTAATCCTACAGTAAGAATGAGAGATCTGCGATCCGCTCTACACTGTAAATCTAAGTTGAACCTCGCTCTACAAAATGGTACCTAAAGCTTCTCGAAACACTTCACCACAAAAGAGTTATTTACAGTCAAATAGTGTGCACATTTTTTGGGACACCCTGTATATACCATTGCTGCATTTTTTTAGTGGCTAGAGTTGAGAAAACTAAAATTCATGCTTTTGCCAAAGTAATGCTGTGATGATCCTACATAGTTGTATACTACTAGCCTGTAAGTACAAATCTTAATTTCAGCTTCCTGCAAGCTTTGGTTCTCGACAAATTTCGAATACAGCTTGCCTTAGTTGGGTGTCTAACGCTAAAATCCATATTTCTCGAAAACTAGTGCCTGTAGAGAGCTGAAAATTTACATTTGTACTTCTAAGGCTAGTGGTACACAAGCAAAGGCTGCTGCATGACGAAGGGGCAATAGCAGTATCAGTTGACTGGCGCGAACGCGGCGCGCGCGTATCCTTACCGTTGTCAATCGTGCACCTCCTGCGCTCTGCTGTTAATAAAGCCACGTTCGCGCCCAAAAGTTACGCCTTTGCCATGCAACAGCCTATAACTATGTAGGAACAGCACAGCATCACTTTAGCGAAAACATGAAAATCTTCGTTTTCTTAATTCCTGAACCAAGGAAAAAATATGGCAACGGCATATATAAATGTCTCAGACGGGTAGTGTTTACGCGAACAAGTTAGAATTTCTGTAGGATTTTTTGAATAAAGTTATGGTTTTTCTCGGTTTTTTGAGCAGTTGAATCTTTTTAGTTTTCGCCTTAAAAATCGAAATGGATCAGAGCTGATGCAAAAGCGAAATAGCCATCTTATAGAGCTTGCTTTGCACTATCGAAAGGTACCTTGAAACCTATCCAGAAACAAGAAGTTGGTGATTTATTGCAATTGAAAATCAAAACGGGAAGAACTTATGGGACAACCTGATACATACAAAACTATTGTTCAAACTATTGTTCGACAAGGCCTCGATTATGAAGGAGGTATATGACTCAGAATTCGTCAAAGAAAATATAGAAAAGTGCCGAAGGTGCAAAATCGCGAATGTCATCATAGCAATCGAGTGATTGTGCTGTTTAGTTTGCATATTTGCATCTTATATGGTTAT